GTAACCTTTCTGATCCCTGTAGAATTTGAGCTTATACCATGCACACTACACATACTCGCTACTTCAAGGCAGCATTTATACAGTGACTGAACTATATCTCCAAATATATAACCTGGGAGTTATACTGTTATGGACTGAATTGTGTCCTCACCCTACATTTATATGTTAAAGTCTTAACCCCCAATGTGACTGAATTTGGAAATAGAACCTCTGTGGAAGCAATTAAGGTTAAATGTGGTCATAACGATGGGACCCTAGAGCTTACCTCCTTATAAGAAGAGAGAGACACCAGAGACCTTTCTTTCTCCACAGAAGCACAGAGAAAAGACCCTGTGGGGACACAGTGAAAAGGCACTATCTGCAAGCCAGGAAGAGAGTCCTTGTCAAACACTAAATTTGCTGATACAGTTATCATGAACTGCTAGCCTCTAGAACTGTGAGAAAATAAAATGCCTCTTGTTTACCTGCAAAGTTGTTGGAGATTCTCCAACATGTCTACAAGGATTATACCCATTTTATAATCTTTTCTTAGGTTAATAGAGAATTGGGTTAGTGTTGGAAAGTAAAGGAACTACAATATCTTTAAGCAATAAAATATTTAAAAGTATACTACAATTAGCTGCTGAAAGTCCTCTTCTTTTCTTTGGGGCCATTTTGAATCCTCTGGTAAGAGGATTTCAGTTGTTCCCTGTTGTCCATTCACATTTTAATCAGAAGGTGATTAAAAGGGAAGCTAAAGTCTCCACTGTAACAATACAAACAATTCAAGTCTATGCTATTCTATCTAGCTGGCTCTTTGTCATTATGTGATGGTTCTTTGCTTTTTCACCACAGCTTTTAGAAAGAATATTTAAACACCATTTATTTATTTTTCTTTTGGCTTTTAAGCTTTCTTATCAGTGAACTACTACAAACCCTATTATTTACCAATTTACTATAATAAATCAATCACTAATATGTTTCAGAATATTTAAAAGACTTTTGACAAAGGTAGTTGGGAACAAGATAGAAGGTAAATGACCTGAGTCTTTGTATTATTTGCTATATGACCTTGATAAACCAATATTTCTGAATTTTTGTTATTATATCTGCTAAGTGAAGGCACTAGACTAAAAGAACATTTCTTAAAATATTACAGGAACAAGTTAATCATTATCATAGAAGAAAAAAAGTGAGGAAATCAATGATGAAAACGCTTACAAAGCAATGGATTAAATAAAATGAAGCAGATTCTATTTTGAACTGCAAGACTTCTCAGTACTTTTGGTATGCTGATATTCATCATTACTCTCTAAGAAGAGCTATGATTTTCAGTGCTTCTGAAATATATATAACCTCAGAAAACTGATTTTTTTATTTAGAATATCTACTATTAGACAAGAAACACTGGAAAAGTCCAAACTACACGATATCTGAAAGGTCTTTAAACAAATAATATGATAAATTTTTTGATGTGTGTAATGGGTTCTTTTTTAAACTCACATTTTTTTATTTTATAAGCTGATGTGGTTATTTCTGCCATTTATGTGACATATTGATTGAGTTCCTGCAGTATGCTAGGCATTGAGGATACAGAGATGAATTATATTATTCTACATTCAAGTGTCTTATACTCTGTGTGAAATATACACGTAATGATGTAATTACTGATGTGATTGCATAACAGAAAAATGAACAAAATGCTACAGGAGCACAGAAAATGTGTGTTTTGAAAATGATCAGAAGACAATGCTACGAAATACTTTTTGGATTTTAAAATGCTATCTGCTATGTTTTATGGGTGTGTTTTACAGTAAATAAAATGTGCCCAATTGGCATTTTCTGCAGTCGTCTTCTACTATGTTTCCCCTAAAATAAGACAGGGTCTTATATTTATTTTTCCTCAAGTAGACACTCTAGGGCTTATTTTCAGGCGATGTGTTGTTTTCCCCTCAAAGCCTCAGCTTGCAGCATGCACAGGATGGCCGGGACCTGACAGGAGGAGCAGACCTTGTTGGTGGGGCTGCCAGCACCTTTCCAGTCACCTCTGGGATAGTAGCTGCCACGATGGGGCAGATGAGAAGGGCTGCTCATCTTCTTTACTGCTCTGTGACTAAATGCATGGGTTGTGCACATACTGCATAGCCACGCCCATCACTAGGTCTTATTTTCGGGGTAGGGCTTATAATGCACAAATGCTTAGAAATCCTGCTAGGGCTTATTTTATGGGTAGTTCTTATTTTCATGGAAACATGGTATGTCCTACTATGTAGAATTTAAGATGCCAGTTTTAAAAGGTTGAGGCAAATAAGCAAGAATAAGTTTTCTATGATCTCAATTACAGTAATTTTCTTTTTGTTGAATAAAAATTAACAAAGAAGTAATACTTTATAGCTGTTCTTGTCTATCTCACTTAGAATGGATACCAGAATTTAAATAAATTTATGAAACAATGTCCCATATAAAGAGGTATCTTGAATTAACAGAAATACTTCTATAAATACAGTATTTAAGATCAAACATTTTAAAATTATATACAGCCCGAGTCACTTGCTGAACATAGGACTTTAAAAGCCCTTCAGACTTATTTATAATGAAAAGGAAACTTCTTTCTGCTAATAAGAGGATTTGCACTTATGATCCTACTGCTTTTAATTTATACAAATGAATAAAGTGGTTTTGTACTTCTTAAATCACAAAATTCTTTTTAAAACCCTTTATACAATCTTTAAAACTGAACTTACTAAACTGAGGAAATTTATCTTAGGTGCAAGGGTCATTATTTTATCTTATTTAAAGATTAGTGCCATTAATATATTTTAACACTTTGATATTCTCTTTCTCTTGACAGAACACAGATAATGAAAATAAGAATTTCAAAATGTCATTTTTTAAATGTCTAAATGTTCATGCTAAGTGTTTATGTTTTTGTAGGCTTGGTTTCTATTTGTTCATTTTAACATAGTGATGCTTGAACTTAAATATACATAAGAATTACCTGAAGGGTTGGCTAAAGCTCAGATTACTTGGCCTTTCCTCAGAGATCCTAATTTAGTAAATAAATCTTGGATGGAGCTGAGAATGTGCATTTCTAACAAGTTCCCAGCCAAGGCCGATGCTGCTGGTCCAGGTACGGCACTTTAAAAGCCACTGTTTTCACAGACCCGAATTTATTAGACACATATCTGGTCTTTCTGTTGTCATGAGGTTCCTCAGCCAGAGCCCAATCTGGGGCCTTAATGGAGCAAAGAGAGTTGATTATCCCAATTGTCTACAAACTAAAGTCACCTTTGTGTTGATTCCTAGATTCTACCATCACAACCTCATTTGTCAAATAGTAGGTGATTTTCCCTCCTTTGATGTTTTCCAGCGGTTATTAGTTTCAAAATGCAGCCTACATTTTGGATTTCTTCCCCTGTAATCACTGTTTCCTATTTTGTCACATAACCCTTTTCTTGTCTTTCATAGTATCCTTGCAGTCCATTGGCTCATTCCTGGCCTCATTTGCCTCTCTACTTAGATGGACCCTATTGCTAGCCTAGATGAACATATAGCCAAGATGAACAAATAGCCTCTATTGATACGTTTGTTCATTCACTTCACAATTATTTTTTAAAAGCTCAACATGTAAAGAATACGACAAAAACTCAGCACTCACGGGTTTACATTGTAATGGGGGATATAGAAAACAAACACATAAGTGTGTGATATATTTAGGGAGCGATATGCACAGTAAAGAAAATAATATAAGGTAATGGTAAGAAAGGGACTGTCGGGGAGTGTATTGCAGTTACTCTGGAAACACTTCTCTGGGAAGGTAACGCTAAGCTGAGAGAGAAATAATGCAATGAAGGCATAAACGCAAGAAATGTAGAAAAGGGCATTCCAGGCAGAGGAAGTATCAATTAAAACCTCTGAGATGGAAATGAGCTTAGACTGTTCAAAGGTCAGAAAGAAACCCAGCAGGACTGAAGTTAATGAAGGAATCAGGGAGGGAAAATGGCTGAAGAGAAGTTTGGGGGTGGGGGCAAAATTTGTCATAAGCCATCTGTAATTAACGTGCCTCCCCCCGCCCCCACACACACACTCAAGGTACATAGGCTAGGAGACTAGGATATGTCCAAGGTGAGAATTGATAGCCAACCTGAGTTGGCTATCGTGAGTTAAGATACCATGAGCTAATGAGTGAGGAGAAACTGAAGACTAATATCAGAATTAACTGTCTAGTCTTTGAGGTTGGTTGTACAGAATGCACATAATTCTTATTTCAGAAATTGGGATACATTAAGTCTTAACCTCATAAATGCTGAATTAAAGAACTAATGTAGGTAATGATATTTCATGGTTCTGGAAGTGGGCAATCCTTTCCTGCTCAATAAAGCCAAAGTTCTGAGTGATGAGGGAGCAAAATCAGGTCAGGAATATATCTTAACAACATTACTTTACAAAGGCCATGTTCTCAAACAGTGGTGATTTTGATAAAATCAGCAGAGTAATTTCCAGCAAAATAATCTAGTATATGAAGCACACACACACACACACACACACACACACACACACACACACACACACACCTTTAAGTAATCTGAGGCAGTTGAAGCAGAAATTAAAGCAAGAGTAGTATGTTTCCAACAACACCCTTAAGAAAACCACCAAGCTTATTGTACTTGATGATTTGAATGTTTTAATCTTTATATTAACAATATAAAGCCATCAGATAAATCTGAGGGCATCTGAACTGAAAGACATTTATTAATATTAGCCAGTGTCCCTTTCTAATAAGGAAAATAAACCTACGTTTATAATTTTGTTTTTACAAATAAGAAAATTTACCACTACATAATTTTTCAGTATAGAGCCAAAATTGTCCTGCAAATGAAACTCAGTTTTTAAAAGATCCCAAAATAATTATTATTTAATAAAGTCTTGAGGCATACACTGTTTATAAGAGTTATTTCTTATGATGGTGTTTGTGAAACTGCTTTATGCCCTCCTACCCTCATATATGCCGATAGCATTACCTGTCTGCATCCACAGTCACATCATGGACCCCTCTCTGGATGACATCCCTGGAACTCGCTGTGTCTGGTATTCGGTTCAGACTTCTAGTATACAGGTTGAGCCCTCCATCTGTCATGTATCTGAAAAGGAATGTTTAATTGATCAACAGAAAATTAAATAAACTCATCTGTATAATTTAACTTCATAAACTGTGTTAAAAATTTTCAATAATTTCTCAACTATATTATAGGGTTTTTTTTTTCTTTTCTGTATAAACATTCTGCTTACCAGGAAGAATTAAAATATCTTTTCAAGTTTATTAGGAAATCAATATTCCTTACTTCAATGAGTAACTAGCTAATTAGAAAACCTAATTTTCTCTTTTGTTATCAAATTTTAGCAGGTTTGTGATAATATAACTCTTAGTAAAATAAGAGCAAGATTTCATTTTGTAAATACCATTTTTGAAGAGTTGAAGGTCCTGGGATCAATGGATTCAAAACCTATGCTTCTACCATATCTACCGTCTTCCTAGAATTCTGTTTTTATATTCAATGTATTATATCAGTTGCTACAAGTCAGAATTAGCTAATTTTTAATTGCAAGCACTTGCAGGGAATCTAACGGGATCCTCACCACTCCCTCAAAAGAACTCCAGTTCACTGTCTTGTTTTAGAGGAGCACAGATATCATGAAGAGCACTGACAATGTTGGGCCAGCACTCGGGTGATGTAACACCCACATCACTGCCCCTTTAAAGATGAAGACTGCCTGAGTTTCATAAGTAAAATCAAATATACTTGTAACTGAGCACAGCTTTTTAAATCAGATCTATGCCTAAAATCCTCAGCACCATCAGAAATGTAACCTTTCACACAAAGAAAGATACTTTTTTGTGTCAGATGGGCTTAGCTTTGATTCTTGTCTATGGTATATGTTAGCTTTATGATTTTCAAGTCATCGCTTTTTCCTCTCTGGTAAATAAAGATTATAATACTTATCTCACAAAAAAAAAAAAAAAAAAAGAAAGAAAAAGAAAAAGAAATGTCCCCTAGAGCTAACATGCTAGCTAAGAAAACCATGCTAATGATGAATGACTGCTGTGAACTTTGTTTGATTGTTTGGAAAAAAATCAAGCTCCTAGGAGAGATACCCTTACTATGTCTACATGGTCAATGTGTCATGATGGTTAAAAGTACAGACTGAAGCCAGCCTGCTTAGGTTTAACTAAGTGCTGTTACTTCCTGGCTGTGTGGGCTCAGGCAAGTCACTTAGACTATCTTTGCCTCAATTGCTTCATCTGTAAAATGGAGCCAGTAATATGCTTACTTCTTACAGCTATGGTGAGATATCAATCAGTTAATATATATAAAGTGCATAGAGCACTGTCTAGCATGGCATACTTTATAAATGCTGACTAATATTACCAGCTATTTTTTGCACTAGAATTTCTACACTGACTAAAAATAGTTCATATCTTGAATAGGAAGTTAGAAGCATTAAATTAGGATTCTGTGGTACAAAACGGTAGATCCTTTCAATGCAGCTCAGGTAGCACTGAGCTTTCAAACACTGTTACGTACACTTCAGTCAACACAAAGTTCACTAAAGGAGAGCTGAGGGAGGATAAAGGCTCCCTGCCCACTGCCTTGTTTTTAAATTTCATTCCTCAGAATTCATAGATTATTTTGTGTTCAGGTCATGTGACAAAGTAGAATTTTAGGTTATATTCTTGGCCCAACTATTTATCACTATGACACCTGAAAATAAGTTCAATTTCTACCCAATTAAAATATGTAACTTTTCTCTCAACCTTCCAGGGTGCTCCTTTTTATTTCATAAACGGAGACTTTTTCAGAGACTCATTATAAGAAAGAGGCCTTTCTCTGACTAATTCCTAATTACTGACAGATTCATATCCCCAAGTGTTTAAAGTAATTTCAAAAAGAGAAGAGATAAGCCTTTACATGCTCCAAGAAATTTTGAATTCTCAGAATGCTGATTAACTAATTTTCTGAGTTATACCTAGAGTACATGAAAAAAATGAAAATTCAGTCTCATTACACTGACGTCAGTACATTCTTTGTGGTGACATGAGGAAAAATTCCCAAAATAAACATCTTCATTCGTTAGTGCATCTATGAGCCCTTTGTCACATTAATCCATACAACTTATTTTTAAAAATTTTAAAGAGTAGGTTAACTCTATGATTCAATTTTTTTTTCATGAGTTGTAGCACAAACATTTCTCAGCCTTTTTTTCTTCTTAAAGAAAACACCATCACATTAAAATTTTCCTGAGATTTTTTCAGCTCTCTCATCTTCCACCATTTTAGTTCTAGGCTGAGATATTGGGCTGTCTCTTAAGGAAGCCACCAATAGCATACACTGGTCAGCAACAAATAAGTCCAGCATGTCCTAGCTCACCCTTGAGCTGAGACCAGCCACATCACCTGCTGACCATGTGCAGTCACCTTCCACACAGGGAAAAGAACTGAGTCATGATTTAAATTTCAGGGTCCTATACTCTGCCATGGGAAAGAGAAAAGTTATAAGACCAAGCATGTATCACCAGAGGGGGTTTCCATATAGGATTTAAGGTATATTTACCTGGTCAACACCGAACATGTAGACCACTGGTGCATATTTAAATGGGCTCATTTGTGAGACTATCTAAGACCTTCTTGAAAGACCGATAAGGAATAAAAATAGAGGAGCTAAGAAGTCTGAATCAGGTTTCAAATGAGGCTTGAAACAAATAGGAAAAACAAAAGATAGAACCACATTTTTTTCCTCATAGTGAGACCAGCCTGCTCTCATCAAACCATTTTCCTCCTCCTCCTGGGCACACAGCTGAGCCATATGTCCTCTCCTGTCTTACAGTCAGATGTGGTCACATGGCTGCTCTGGACAAAAAATGAGAGTAGAAGTTATATACCTGACTTCTAGGCCTGGTACATACAAAATATTCTCATGCCATGGTTCTTCCTCTCTTTTTCCATTTGCTTCTTGAATGTCAATGCCCAGGGTGGCTTGGGAAAACTGGTTGGCCAATAGCAGAATTACCATCCATCTTATTCTCTGAATGACTACATGGGACATATTCCCCAGATGAAGATCAGAAATACCACTGAAGATTGTACATGAAGAAGTAATGAGCTTCTTTGTGTTAAGATACTGAGATTTTAAGATTCCTCTGTTAAAAAATTAATATTAACTAATATAGCTGGTGTCCTGGAAAATACATAATGCTCCTGAGTATAGGTATGCTTAAAATATATATTATTAAATGTAAAACTTAGATGTTAAAAAACACTGCCTTTTAAACAATTACTTATCTATCTCCCACATGAGTTATTTTCCTTCTTTTATCCTACCAATGTTGCTATAATATTTCTGGCCTTATGACATTGATCCTGAGTTCTTGCAATAGTTCTTGAAACCCAGCCCCAGAGCTCTCCCTTTAATTCATTTTGTATGTTTCCCTTAAACTGGCCTTTCAAAAACTATCAGCATCCTCATGCTCTTTTCTGAGACTATTTCGTAATCTCTAAGAAATAGAGTTTTATATTGCTGAAAGTACAGTTTAAACTTCTTAGCATAATGATGTTAAGGCCTGTCACAATAGTCCCTATTTCTCAAATCTTATCTTTATATATTCACTTTCCATGATTCTCAAGAAAAGGGTCATTGAATATTATCTAATCCGACTGACCCTCTAATCCCGAAAATTATACCTCAGTCAAGTTTACTGAATGACTTATATCATCTGCATTTAGACTTCCTTACAAATTTTCTCTTTTAATATTAATATATTTCTCTCATTTATAGTTATTTAAATTAGAAAACAACTAAATTATTTCCTTTTCTTAGTCATTCCTTTTAATTTCACGTCAGAGTTTGGGACTTTTTCCTTATGCCGTAACTCTTAGCTCAATTTTTATCTATACAAACCTTTTGAAATTACCAACCCACTGCATTGTGGCTGGTCATTAATAACTGGTATAAACTGCTCCCAGGACATGCCGTTACTCTCCACAGAAGCATTTTATATGAGGGAGAATATATACATTCAATCATCATTATTTACAAATTCCATATCTGCTAATTTGCCTACTTACTAAATTTTATTTGTAGCCCCAAATCAGTACCCACACCACGTTCACAGTCATTCATAGACATGCACTAGAACAGTGAAAAATGTGAATCTCAGAGGTCGCTAGCTGAGGTTAAACAGGTGACACTGCCTCTTGTTTCAGCTGTCATAGCATAAATAAGTATTCTTTCCATGGTCTATTTAGTGTCACCTTCTTCACAGTTCTGTGTTTTTGGTGGAGATTTTGCTGTTTAAAATGGTCATGGCCGGGCCAGGCATGGTGGCTTGCGTCTGTAATCCTAGCACTCTGGGAGGCAGAGGTGGGTGGATTGTTTGAGCTCAGGAGTTTGAGACCAGCCTAAGCAAGACCTAGACCCCGTCTCTACTAAAAAAATAGAAAGAAATTAGCTGGACAAAATATATATATATATATATATATATATATACACACACACACACATATATATATATATATATACACATATATATATATATATAGCTGGGCATGATGGCACATGCCTGTAGTCCCAGCTACTTGGGAGGGTGAGGCAGAAGAATCGCTTGAGCCCAGGAGTTTGAGGTTGCTGTGAGCTAGGCTGACGCCACGGCACTCTAGCCTGGGGAACAGAGTGAGACTCTGTCTCAAAAAATAAATAGATAGATAGCTAGATAGACAGATAGATAGATAGATAAAATGGCCATGGCCCCCAGTGATGATGTCAAAGAACTGTCTTGTGTTCCTAGCCGCAAGAAGGCTTCAAGTATTTCACGACAAAAATGTGTTAGATAATCTTCATTTAGGCATGAATACAGTGATGCTGGCTGTGAGTTCCATGTTAATGAATCAACAACATATTAAATAACGTGTCTTTAAACAGAAACACACATAAAACAAAGTTATGTATTAATCTGTTGACAAAAATGTTGGGGACAAAGGCTCACAGGATATTAACTTATATTTCTCCTAGGAGCAATGGTTCAGTATCCACTAATACAGTGTTTGTGGTAACTTCATAGAACATAACTACCATGAATATTGAGATTGATTGTATACATCTATATACATATATATAGATGTTTATGTATGTATATGTACATATATAAATATATGTGTATATTTATGTATGTAGTTAAATAGTCATCCAAATATATTTGAATGGTGGATATAAAAACTGAATACACACATATGCCAACATTTAAGAAGATCAAATAAAGAGGAGAAAGGAGGGAAAGCAGAAAGAATGGAGAGAAAAGAAGGGAGAGATGTGGGAAAGAATATGAATTAGATATTCCTGTGTTGCCTTCATGTTCTCTGAACTGGGTATTGCCTCCACATATTTGTATGTTAAGTACATACAAAATGATTATGATAACTAATAACAACCACTAATTGGGATGATTATTATAATAAATGTAAGGATGATGAGGAGGAGTAGGATGATAAATTTACTGTGCACTTATATTATCCCAGGCTTTTTGTTCAGTAAAATTTTGTGGATGATTTTCCTAGTGCTTAACAACTTCATGAAGATGGTGCAATTTTGTCCTTATTCCAGATGACAAAAAATTGGATAACTTAGGCTCCTGAGGGGTCCACAGATGGTGGAAAGGGATTTAAATTAGGCAATCTGATTCCAGTGGCACCTGAACTACAACCTATCCCAATTCATCATAATTTCTCTCCCTAATTGTAAATTATTAGAAACGTGTGCAGAGTGGATATCAGGAATGGGCTGTTAGATATTAGGTATCAAAGCTGAGCAATAAATCTGATCCAAAGCTATTTTTTACCTTTTTAGTTCTTATCATCATCAAACATAAGCTTTTCATGAATGAAGTTAGGAAAGATTACTCATACAGAAGAATGATTTCCCACACTGCTCCTCTCAGACACATAAAGACAAAGAGTAGGTCAAAACCCAGACTCACATGAAAATTACAGATAAAGTTAATTGGCAAGATTTTCTGCACATTGCAGAGCCTGGGTTTTGAAGTCAGACAAATCTAAGTTCTAATGCAAGTCTGACATTTCCTTAGAGATATACAGTTGGGGCCAATTAGGCTCAGTTTTCTCACCTGTAAAACATGTACAAAAATGCCCACCTCATTAAGGGTTGCTGGTGGTGGAAAGGTTAAATAAAATAATATTTTAAAGCACTTTTCAGGAGTATAGTAGGTAACAGAAAGTACTCAAAATGGCAATTACAATTATTAATTAATAGAATATTCTATTGTTTCCATTGCCGCTCATCCTCTGATTAAACCAAATATTCCAAATTGCCAAAATACTCTAACACTTATATGATCATGACATTTTTTGCAACGTAACAAGAAACAGAAGAAAAACAGAGGCTAATATTTTTAAAAGTTTGATACCATCAGAAGAGAATAAATGGACTTCCAACTCTAAAGTGATTTTTCCCTCAAGTTAAATTGGAGGTGCGTAATTGAAGAATGCTAGAAAACGTTCCTCAAAGTAGTTACAGGCACCTTCTGACAAGCCAAAAAAAGAAAAAAAAATCAAGAAGCTCAGCAAAACTCCTCCTGTCTCCTTCCCACGCCCTTCACTACAAAATCTGTTGCTTAAGAAGCATGTGTAAATCACTCCAAAAAACACAGGCCACATGTGTTTCCCTAAACAACAGAAAAATTTAGTGGCTTATGTTAAATTTATAGAAATCTTGGACATTTTACTTCTCATGAATGAGCACAGGAAAGGCCTTGAAATGCCCCCAAATAATCTGAGATTTCTCGCATTTCCTAATGACTTTATAAATGAACTTATGTGTTGTCCTGTTTACAGTGAATAAGTCCTACTAGACAACTCCCTTTTTCACACAATGCCTAGAGATCAGAGCCACTTACCCACTGTTGATGTCATCAGCCCTGAGACTTTTCCCAAGGATATCACCATCACTCATATATCCACCAACATCGACTTCAGAAGACATGTCCAGGTCGCTGCTTGCTTTCTCACTCATGTCGATCTGTGACATGTTTCCCAGACGAGAGACAGCAGCCCGACGGAGAGGCGTTGTGTACATGAACCTCGAGGGGTCTGTGTGGATAAACCGACTGGTACCGCTGCGAGAGTAGCCAGCACCCAGGGAGGGAGCATCTCCTGCCTGAAGTCGGGGACACGCCTGGCCCAACCTCCAGGTCATGGGGGTGGGCCGGCTTGTCAAGTTGGGTATGGTCCTTCCATTCACTTCCGTCGTCACAGTGCTGTCAAATGTTGTCTCCAGGGTGCTGTCAAATAAAATTGAGAAATAACTACACTCCAGTTCACTTGGGGCCATAGACCAAGAATGGATGAAGACAGAAAATGCTAAGTTGAGGGTTATTTCTTAGAAGTATGTCATTTTCATGAAAGCCAAATTATATGTTCATGTTGAGATTCAAATCAACTTTGTAGATGTCAAAATGTGGGAAGGGGCATTTATTTCCAGTTCTTTTTGTTTGTTTGTTTTCAAAAGAAAAGCCATCATTATGCTTTGGATAAAACAAAATATTGTTTCACATTATCAACAAATCTTTAACATACCCCATTATAACCTTTCCAGACTTACTGTGGAAGTTAACTACAGTTATGTTTGAATGTCTCCCTAACACCGCTCCCTAGATGCCTGTCAACTGCAACTTCTGCCACCGTTCTCTAGTGCAAGCATGAAAGTCCACTTGGGAGTGATGGTGGTAGTTGCAGTAGCTATTTTTTGTTTGAACAGGAAATTATACTGAAGAAGACATTGATACATTGATAGGATATAGAGATACAGATAGGTGGATGCTGAGAATTTACAGTTCAAGGATAGTCACCAATTGATTCGTATGTAAAATTTAAGTGAGCAAATAGTAAGGAATAACTGAAATCGCTTCTCTATCATTATATCAAAAGTTAAGGACTTGATTGTAATCCTTTTTCTTTACTGGCCGAAAGATACACAGAATTAAGCTGTAGCTTAATTAACCTGTGGCTTATCTGAGTCCCACGAAGACTGGACATAGTTTCTTCTAAATTCTGTCTCAAATCTGCTATGTTTTTAACTGTTCGCATTCTTCTTGTTTCAGGGTCTTCACCTAGGAAAATACCATAAAAATAAATTTGCTATTCATGTCATATACTGTCCTCAGAATAATCGTATATACAGGTAAATAACATAAATCCCTTTCCTAAATGTAAAAAATAGGTAGGAAATTTCAAATGGCTATTATCATCTTCCTACAAATTATAAATCTTTCTAGAAATACAATGTGAATAGAAACAAATATAATATCACAAGGAATAATTTTTAAGAAGTGATAACAGAATAATACTTTGTAGGCCTATGACCTTAATTGCAAAATGAGGGACTCACTTTGAAATATAATGCACAGTACTCCTTGTTACTGAGCTTAATTTAAAAACCTATGATTATTTGGATCCTAATTTTTCAACCTGTTTCTAAGTATACTAGGAATAACTGAGATAATCTTTCCTTATATAGCAAGTATACATTTGGATCCTGGGGAATAAGCTAGAGGCCTTTTCTTATAGAAACAATGGCTTTTTAAGTCTTTTATTTTATTAAACTCATGGACCAAGATTCACAACATTGGATGGCTTTATTTTTAATCATTTCTCAACTTTTTGCAGGCAATCAAAATATCCACACCAACTACACCAGAGTTGGTGTAAAGTCCTAGGCATCTAAACCTAACATGTTTTTGTTTAATGGGCATGACACAAATAAGTCTGTCAGTATGACAAATGCTGCCATGATAAAATTTCACCTATCACTTGAGGGCAAAAATGCTATTAAACCATTTTGTTTATGGCCATGCAATATTTCCCAAGCCAGTGGCCATTTGAAGTTGGTAAGTCTGGGCAAAGGAAGAATATAGAAAGAGAGTAGTGGAAGCATAGATTCTATTCTGTTCAATTTGGGCTGAGGAGGATGTCTAGTAATAGGAATTTTTAATAAAAAAGAAAGAAGGAAAGACAGAAGGAAGGGAAGGAGGGAAGGAAGGGAAGGGAAGGGAAGGGAAGGGAAGGGAAGGGAAGGGAAGGGAAGGAAGAGGAAAGAAAAAGAGAAGAGAAAAAAACAGCACATATTAAATTATTCTGTGAAAATTGTTAGACAAGTCAAGATGCGAATCTATCATTTGTTTTAAGAATATAAGTGACTATTCAACTTATTATTAATAATTTACTCCTTAGCATTAAGGCCAGACTTTTAAAAATATATAATGTGTCCATTTAACATTTATCATCATAATCATAGAGTTGGTGGGGATTTAAGATATTGTCTCACCTTACCTCTTGGCCATAGAACTCATCTATGTCTCATGGGGGACAAGGCCATCTGCCTCTGTCTGAAACCTTCAACACTGCAAAAGCCTCACTCTCTTTAGCAAGAGAGGGCTCCTTCCAGTGTTAGACAGGTCTAATTGTAAAAACATTTATGGGTGATAAGCAATAATTTGTATCCCATTAATGTCCACTCAGTGATCTCAGTGGCTCTGAAAGCAACTGGACAAATTTATGGCCTTTACCATGGCAGCCACTCAAATAGTGGAAGACAATTGCTAATCCCTTTATTATCTTTTTCAGCCAAACATTACCATTTTGTTCATTATTTCCCACCCTGGATGATTGCCAAAACAGCCACTACTCTGCTGCCAGTCTATACATTTATTCCTTTTAATTTACACATTATATGAACAATTTAAAAATGCCTAATAATAACATTATAATTTCAAACTTAGAAAGTGCTGAAAAACTTCCCTAAAGTGAATATATTAAAAAAAAAAAATAGAAAAACACATTGGGACCTCATGCACATGGCGTAAGCTTTATCTTCACTAATTCAGGTCATCCAATCTCTAATCCTATAGATTAACATTCTTTTACAACTCAGAGCTGTTAATAACCCTTGAGACTATGATCATATTGTTCCTGGAAAATCTTCCCATGCCTCTTATACATATAATACAGTTTATTTGAGAAATGGCTCTAAAGAAGTCTAGCTTTCACTTCCAAAAACTCTGACAGAATTTTGAAGGAAAAAGATAGTTTTATAAGGAAAATCTTAAAGGGTGGACAGAGAATATTGTTGCAGTCAAAGGAAAGGCAGAGGCGAAGAAGAGATGTATTGAAACCACATCAAAAGAAATAGTGAAGAAGGGGCAAAATTGGAGAAACACTAAATCCAAGATCCAGTATATAGGATTTCATGTAGTATAGAAGTCTTAGATTCTAGCTGATGGTGAAAGATGAGAATCAGAAAACAAGGAGAGTGTTGAGATGATTTATTTTAGAGGGAGGGGGAATGCAAGTCACTGACCTCATACATGTTTCTAGAATACATCAGCATCCCTGAGCGCTTCTCCCCTGGGAGAACTTTTAAGTTGTAATCAAACTGCATCTCAACCACTTGCTGACTGGCATAATATTAAAAATTAATATTTGTATTATGTTCAATATTTTATATTTATTTTTAAAATATTCTAGTTTTAGACATTCTGTTTCACTAAATATGTTTTTCACATTTATTTCATACCCTTTGAAATTTCCTTTGTCCAATCTAACAGACATCTTAGATTCTTGGATTCTTCCTATTGAATTCACTGTTTGTTTTATGCTTTCCCTTGTGTTTCAGAACCACAGCCTCCCCCCTCCTTTGGTTTTCCTCTTCATGACATCCACTCCTAACACTGCACCGCTCCTGACAATCAGACAAATGGACTTTTTCCTCCCAACACTTACTGAGCAAAACATAATTGCCACCTTATTCCTGTCATGAAAAATAATAACCAAAGAAGAATTTATTGCAGTAAATGTTTTCAGTGACCCACAAAAGGCAAGATAAAACTAAGTGCACTTAACAAACCCCCTAAGGATTGATTGCACAGTCTGAAATATCCTATACACTTGTATCCAAATTATGTGTGGAGGCTTTGGAGGGGGGGGCATAATTAAAAAAGCTAAATAAAACAGTACAAATAAAACCAAATGTTTAGTAACAATACACGTTAGCAGAGAAAATGCACATGAGAAATGTATTCAATCAACAATATGTTGTATCCATATCCACTTGCATAATCTCAAAGTGAACTGTTATTCTTGAAGGAGGTTTCCTATGTGTCAGACACAATGGCAGGTACCATTTTCCAGAATGGTATATTCCGAAATCCCTTTGAGTTTTTAACATTAGTGTACGTTGCTTTCTCATTGCCTATAAGACCTTTTCTATGAGTAGAGCACAGACAGACCACTTAATCTGTGTGATCTCACTCTTACTTTTTAGGTTTCAATTATACACATTGTAATTAACATTGCCAGCACTGTCGTTTTTTAATAGTAAATTAACTTCCACATAAATGAACCTGATTCAAAGAGAATCAATGTCCTCCACCCCATCCATATTACAAATGTTATTTAGAGTATCACTGTCTGATTTATTTCGAGGATTAACTACAGTTTTGTGAATGACTCCAATCGACAGTGACTTAGATAAAAAATTTTTAAATCATATTGGTAATCTTGGCACTTTTGGGAAAAACAGCAAAATATGGCCAAGAGCTTTATAGTGACTTTGTAAATATTCTCCTAAACACTTATAGCACAGACCCCAGTCTGTCTGATTTATTAGGATATCCAAGGGTAAAGAGTTAAACTCAAGTAACCCTGCCTAAAAACTAACTTGGAAGAGGCCATTTTGAATCATAAGCAGAACCTATTTACGCATGTGGCAAAAATTGTGAAATTCCTGTGTGCTGTGAGCTTGGATATATTCACCAATGTATCATTATTTAGGGAATTGCATCAGAATGCTTCATTATCTGGAAATATGATTATTCATATCACAGTTATTTAAATAAATTCTTCCCCTTACTTTTCACTTGCATTTTTTAATATTGGCATAAGTGAAAAAAAAAAGAAAAAAAAACCTTAAAGAGAACAATCACATAAGTACAGTAAGCAGATGTTCCATTTAAAAACCATGGCCTACAGACTTCTACTGAGAGTTTACCCTGTGACAGTAATGCTCTAAGTTATTTATATACAAAAAGGCATGTGTCATATATACACCCACCCACAGCATGCTATAATTTAACAGAGCAACCAAAAAATACTGTCTGCACTCTGTTCATATCTTTGTAAATACTTACATAAGAGGTATTTAGAACAAGATAAAAGACAACACTTTAAAAGCAAAAGATGAATAACTATTATCTGATTCTATAGAACCAGAGGATCAAAAGAAGAAAAAAGGTTCACAAGATTAAGACTTTCTCTCGCCTTTGTACTGCACACAGATCTTTAGGAGAAGCAGTTCATCACAGAAATCACACAACAGTGAAAAAGTAAATCTTTAGTGTCTGAACACCTGGCATATTCAGATTCAGAAATCACTATTCTTAGAACTATGGAAACATTACTCTTTTAAAACCAAACTGACATGAAAAAATGAGCAGTATTTGCCTCTGCTATCTCTCTAAGCTTGGTCTTCTTCTAAAGTTGTTTCACTAAAAGAGTCCAGAAAACATCCATAAAACCTCTTGTAACAGGAGGGTCCATATAAAGAATAACTACAAACCTGTATTTAGGATGAGTTGCATGAATCAGAAACAAAGAGATCACTGGCCAGGTTTAATTCCTTTAAATTTAAGTAGCCTTATATGAATTATTTGTGGAAATACACGTTGACATAAAATATGATGTAGTCAATGGCTTAATACTGATGAACTTTTTGAAGAATGGACTGTATAATGTAAATATATTTTGGTAGAGCACTGAACTTAGAAATAACAATTAAAATATACACATTTTAGCTGTTGAGGCAAGTAGCAAAATTGCCATTTCAAGTTTAATCATAAAACTGAACAATCACTTGATATCTTCATACCCAGTTGGATCAAGATTATGTGAGAGGTTATTGCTGAAACTCATGTCATCCAAAAGGCCTAGTTTGCAAAATATGAAAAGTTCATAGTCACCTACAGAGTAGTTTAAATAGTTACAATGTGCACATGCTGGAGCAGTTTTTGCCAAACACCAAAAAAAGAAAAAAAAAAAAAACAACTAAAAAGCAGCA